TTTGTCTTTTGAATTGCATTATTTTGTGATCTATAATTTGATTGTCAGATTGTATAGCAGCATAAAGATATACTAAACATTGCTTTCTTTACATATCAGTATTTGGGTTGCTTTCACATTTGGTTTCATAAATATTGCTTCAGTATTCATGTGCCTGTGGATTGTGTCTCTCTTAGTGGCATGCCTGGCAAGAAACTACGGAAGCAATAAATAATCCCATGTAGAAATTGCTGGGAAACTGCCAAATTATTTTTACAGTGGCTGCAATATTTTACTGGAAACGTATGAGGGTTTGTGGGGAGCAACTGGGAGCAACTCGGACTAGACTAAGTTACTGGAATTAAGACTTATTTTATGCATCTGCTTTCCCACAATATGGCGCTGAGAAGGGAGTAACAGCTTCTACACAGCTGCCTCCAGTTCAACCAATAAACAGCAGGACCTGCTCCTGATTGGAGGACAGCAGCGTACTCGGCATGTGGGTAGCAGAGTTGGGATTGGAGAAAGAGGACTATAAAGGAGGAGAGAGACAACATGCACCAGGAACATCTATCTGAAGGAACACCTGAGCAGCCCCCGAGAGAGCCGGCCGGTGTGGAGTCCCTTCCACGGAGGTGGAAGGGACGGTAGCCAACCTGGGAAGAACCAGCAGCAAACCCGGGGAGGGCTGAGCAGACAAAAGAACAGCGCAGGGTTTAGTGTCATTCCCCCATGAAGAGGGGGAGCGACAAGGGTTCCCTGTTCTCCACATCCATGTCAACATTTATCTATAGTGAATCAGAGTCATTTGACTTAATAAGAAGTGTTATTTCCCTAAGGTTTTGATTTACATTTTCACAATGATTTATATTAAGTATAATTTTTTTTAAAGATTTATTTTATTTATTTGAAAGACAGTTGCAGAGAGAGGTAGAGACAGAGAGAGGTCCTCCATCCACTGGTTCACTCCCCAGATGGCTGCAACAGCCAGAGCTGTGTTGACCCAAAGCCAGGAGCCAGGAGTTTCTTCTGGGTCTCCCACATGGATGCAGGGGCCCAAGGACTTGAGCCATCTTGCACTGCTATCCCAGGCCATAACAGAGAGCTGGATAGGTAGTAGAGCAGCCAGGACTAGAACCGGCACCCATATGGGATGCTGGCACTTCAGGCCAGGGCTTTAACCCACTGCACCACAGCACTGGGCCCAGAAGAATATACTTTTGCAGTATTAAAATCTCTTACTGAAATCAATGCTTCATTTAAAAATTGTATGGTTTTTTTTTTTGTAATTTTTTAGTATAAAATTCAAGTTTTGTGGGGCTGGCGCCATGGCTCACTTGGTTAATCCTCCACCTGCGGCACTGGCATCCCATATGAGTGCCAGGTTTTAATCCCAGTTGCTCCTCTTCCAGTCCAGCTCTCTGCTGTGGCCTGGGAAGGCAGTGGAGGATGGCCCAAGAGCTTGGGCCCTGCACCTGCATGGGAGGCCAGGAGGAAGCACCTGGCTCCTGGATTCGTATCGGCATAGCTCTGGCCGTAGTAGCCATCTGGGGGCAGAGTCAACATAAAGAAGACCTTTTTCAGCCGGCACTGTGGCTCAATAGGCTAATCCTCCACCTTGTGGCACCGCACACTGTGTTCTAGTCCCGGTTGGGGCACCGGATTCTGTACCAGTAGCCCCTCTTCCAGGCCAGCTCTCTGCTGTGGCCTGGGAGTGCAGTGGAGGATGGCCCAAGTGCTTGGGCCATGCACCCCTATGGGAGACCAGGGAAAGCACCTGGCTCTTGGCTTCGGATCAGCATGATTTAGTTTAATCAAGTTTTTTTTTCTTAAATTTCTTGTGGTATTTTCACTCTTTGATGCTACCTTGAATGTTATTGTTAATTATACTCTTAGAATGTTCATCACTGTTAAACAGAAATATAATTGATACTTATATCTTTATATTCTGCAAAAATACTGAGTTTTACTGTATTTTTGGAGTGGGATTTTAGTGACTTCCTCAGAGTATATGTTACATGCAAGACTATGTGTTCAATATTACAAGTCAACTTTGCTCTTTTGTTTGCAATCTGGAGCTTTATTCTTTTGCTTTGTTCATTTTTTTAGTAGAATCATCCACTACACTGTTGAATAGAAGTGTTAAAAGTAGCAGTCTTATTCCCATTTTACAAGAGTTTATTGTAAATTTCCCATAGGTGCCCTTCCTGTGGTGGAAGTTTGCCTCAGTTAACAGTTTATTTAGGGTTTTAATCATAAATTGAATTTAGTCAATTTTTTTCTTTATTGAAGAGGTTATCAAATCTTGATTTTCTGATTATTACATTAAATATTTACACTTAATATTTTTATTTTTTAATTTGAGAGGCTGAGAGAACTAGAACCCCTATCTTCTGGTTCACTCTGCATATGTCTGCAATGACAGGTCTGGACTGGAAACCAAATCCTGGCCTCCAATGTGGGTGACAGGGTCCCAGTTACATGTTCCATTCCCACAGCCTCTCATATTTTCCATTGGCAGGCAGCTGGTTTCAGAAGCCAGAGGTGAGAGTTGAACATAAACACTGTAGTATGCAATGCAGATATCTTACCCAGACTCTCAACTGAGACCAAATCTGTGCCTGTATGTCTGGTTTTGTTCAAATATCACACTGTTTAGACTACATTTGCTTTTGAATTAAGAGAATGTGAGGCCTTTAACTTTGATCTTATGTTCAAGAATATTTGGGTATTTAAATACTTTGACATTCCATATTAATTTTCTGTATAGTTTTTTTAAATTTTTGACTAAAAATAACTATTGGGATATTATGAAGAATGATTTGAATCTATAGATCACTAGGAACATTGATTTATTACATATATTTTATAATCCATGAACAGAGTGTATATATATATACATTTATTTGTGTGATCTTTAATTCATTTAGTAATCTTTTATAGTTTTCAATGTTTAGGTATTTTATTTCCTTGGTTAAGTTTATTCCTAAGTATTTTATTACCTTTGGTGCTTTTGAAATTGAATTGTTCTCTTGATTGCTTTAATTTATTTATTTTTAATTTTTTATTTATATAAGGTGAACAAATTTCATGTGTTTCATATATTCAGATTTAGGAACAAAGTGATACTTCCTACCCTACCCTCTCCTGCTCAGGCTCCCAACCTTCTTCCCTCCATTATGATTTTACTTTTAATTTTTACAAGACATACTTTCAGTTTATGTTATAATCATGTTTGACCCTCCACAAAGTGAAGGATTCAAGAAATAGAAAGTAGAAGAAAACCACTGTTCCTTGAGAGTAAAGAAAATGTTATAATCATCTCAAAATGCAAATTTTGCTCCTAAACATTACATCTTTTATACTCTGTATATTAGTAACATATATCAAGGAAAACATACAATATTTGTATTTTTTGAGACTCACTTATTTCACCAAGCATGATAGATTCCAGTTGCATCCATTTTATTGCAAAAGACAGAATTTCATTCTTTTTTGTGGCTGAGTAGTATTCCACAGTGCATAGATACCATATATTTTTATCCAGTCATTACTTGATTGGCATCTGGGTTGATTCCATATCTTAGTTATTATGAATTGAGCTGTAATAAACATGGGCATACAGATAGCTTTAATATGCCAATTTAACTTCTTTTGGGTACATTCACAGTGTGGGATGGCTAGGTCATATTGTAGATATACTGTCAGATTTCAGAGGAATCGCTATACTGCCTCTAGTAAAGGTTGCACTAGTTTACATTCCCACCAAAAGTGTACTAGGGAACTTTTCCCCCTACATCCTCACCAGCAGTCATTGCTTCATATTTTTTGTATGACAGCCATTCTAACTCTGGTAAGGTGTAACCTCACTGTGGTTTTTATTTGCATTTCCTGGCCAACAGCCAGGAGTTTCTTCTGGGTCTCCCACAAGGGTGCAGGGGCCCAAGGACTTGTGCCATTTCTACTGTTATCCCAGGCCATAGCAGTGAGCTGGATCAGAAGTGGAGCAGCCAGGACTTGAACTGGCACTCATATGGGATGCCAGCACTTCAAGTCAGAGCTTTAACCTGCTGTGCCACAGATCGGTGCAGCTTCGGCCATTGCAGCCATCTGGGGAGTGATCCATCAGATGGAAGATCTCTCTGTTTCTGCCTCTCTCTAACTTTGTCTTTCAAATAAATAAAATAAAGCTTAAAAAAAAAAGAATAACTAAAAAAAACTGTATGGTTATCTCAATAGATGCAGAAACCATTTGATAAAATACAACATTCTCTCATGATGAATAAATAAACAGTTTTCATTCTTCTATTTGTTATTGTGATGTGTCACATTTGTTAATTTGCATGTGTTGAACCATTCCTGCATACCAGGGATACCACTTGGCCCAAGTGAACAATCATATTTTGTTCATCTGTGATACTGGTTTATAATTCTCTTTGTTGTATGTTTTTCTGGTTTTGGAATTAAGGTTATGCTGGTCTCATAGAACCAGTGTGGGAGAATTTCCTCCATCTCAGTTGTTTGAAATAGATTGAGAGGAATTGGAATTCATTTTTCTGTAAAAGTTTGGTAGAGCTCAGCATGTTTACCATCCAATCCTGGGCTTTTTCTATGTGGGGAGGGTCTTTATTTCTTATTCAGTCTCCATCTTGGTTATTGCTTTGTTTAGGTTTTCAGTGCCTTCATGCATCAATTTTTGGTAGATTGTGCTTATCTAGGAATCAATCCATTTCCTCTAAATTTCCCTATTTGTTGGCATATAGCTTTTTTCATAATTTCTGATGAATTTTATTTCTGTGGTATCTAACATTTCCTTTTTTAGTTCTGAATTTATTAATATGTGTCTTCTCCACTTTTTTTAATTATTTAGGCCTGTGGTGTATCAATTTTAATTTTTTCAAAAATAATTGCACTTCATTTCACTGATCTTTTGTTTCTTTTTGTTTCAATTTTATTTCTTCTTTGATTTTAAGAATTTCTTTCCTCATACTAACTTGTGATTTGGTTTATTGTTTTTCTAGGTTTTGAATGGATTGTTAGATCATTTGTTTGATCCTTTTCCAATTTTGAGGTAAGCACTAATTGCTATAAACTTAACTCTCAGAATTGCTTTTGCTGTATATCATAAGTTTTGACATGTATGTTGTCATTTTCACTTCTTTCCTGTAATTTTTTATTTACTTTTTGATTTCTTCTATGACCCACAGTTCATTCAGGAGCAGGCTGTTCAGACTCCATGTGCTTGCATGCTTTCTAGAGTTTCTTATGTTCTTAATTTTCAGATTCATTCCACTGTGGTCAGAAAAGATACATGGTATGATTTCATTTTCTTTTAATTTGCTGAGATTTGCTTTATGGCCTAACATATGATCTGTCTGAGAAGGAGTTCCACGCACTGGTGATAAGAATGTGTATTCTGCAACTATGGGATGAAATGTTCTGTATATGTCAATTCTGTCATTTTGGTCCATAGAGTAAATTAGTTGTCTTCTTTGATTTTTCTTTGTCTAGTTGTCCTGTGTATTGATGTAACTGTGAAATTGCTGTCGCCCATTACTATTGGATTGAAGTCAATGTTTCTGTTAAGATCCATTAACCTTTGTTTTTAAATGATCAGGCACTGGGGCTGGAACTGTGGCAAAGCAGGTTAAGCATTCCATATGGGCACTGGTTTGAGACCTCACTGTTCCACTTCTGATCCAGCTCTCTGCTATGGCCTGGGAAAGCAGTAGAAAGTGGCCAAAGTCCTTGGGCCCCTGCATCCATGTGGGAGACCCAGAAGAAGCTCCTGCCTCCTGGCTTCTGATTGGCTCAGCTCTGGCCACTGGCCATTTGAAGAGTGAACCAGCAAATGAAAGAACTCTCTCTCTCTCTCTCTGTAGCTCTGCTTTTCAAATAAATAAATGAATCATAAAAAAATGAAAAGCAATCATGCACCCGGCATTGGGTACATATACATTTACCATAGTTTCATCTTTCTTTTGGATTGATTCCTTCATTAATACAAAATGCCTTTTTGTCTTGTTTAATAGTTTTTGCTTTAAAGTCTGTTTTGCATGATATTATCATGGCTAATATTTCTCTTTTTTACTTTTTGTTATCATGGAATATCATTTTCCATCCTTTAACTTTCAAAGTCTGTATGTATCTTTGTAGCAGAGATGTGTTTATTACAGGCAGTAAAAAATGGATCTTGTGTTTGAATACATTCAGCTAGTCTGTATCTTTTTTTTTTTTTAGATTTATCCCTCCACTTGAAAGTCAGAGTTACACAGAGAGAGAAGGAGAGGCAGAGAGAGAGAGAGAGAGGTCTTCCATCTGCTGGTTCACTCCCCAGTTGGCCACAATGGCTGGAGCTGTGTCAATCCAAACCCAGGGGCCAGGAGCTTCTTCAGGTCTTCCTCATGAGTGCAGGGGCCCAAGGACTTGGGCCATCTTCTACTGCTTTCTCAGGCCATAGCAGAGAACTGGATTGGAAGTGGAGCAGCAGGGACTTGAACCAGTGCCCATATGGGATGCTGGCACTGCAGGCAGCAGCTTTACCTACTATACCACAGTGCCGGCCCCTTGATTTATTTTATTGTTTTTCTTTTGGGAACTTCATGGTTTTATGATTGAGTTAATCTTACTCCTTATTGTGATGCATGCTCACCATTTATCTAGACCGTATATTTAATTACTAACAGTTTTCATTGGGCATAACTAGTTTACAAAAGTCTCACACACTAACATGACATGCAAGAAGTTGTAGCTCATAATGATTATTAATACAGGACTGAGTTTCACCTGAATATCAAATGAAGCTAAGTTAGTTTCTCCAGACTCCTTCACTCTGTATTTTGCTGTCACTTGCTGCTATTCAGGGGTATTAGATTTTGGCCTGTATATTCCTGCTATTTTTCTGTGCAAGGGTATAGGAGTCAGCCCTGTATCATGAGAACATTACTCTTTATCTCTAAATGGATTTAAGCAAGCAACAGTCACTCAGGCTGTGTGCTTCAGTGTGGCACTATATATAACAGATGCATAATAATTGTATATATTTCTTTTAAAAAAAAACATTTATTTGAAAGTCACATTTACACTGAAAGAGGAGAGAAAGAGAAAGAGAGAGAGAGGTCTTCCATCCACTGGTTCACTCCCCAATTGGCCACAATGAACCAGAGCTGCACCAATCTGAACCCAGGAGCCAGGAGCTTCTTCCAGGTCTCCCATGTGGGTGCAGTGGCCCAAGGACTTGGACCATCTTCCACTGCTTTCCCAGGCCACAGCAGAGAGCTGGATCAGAAGTGGAGCAGCTGGGTCTCAAATCAGTGCCCATATGGGGTGCTGGCACTGCAGGTGGTGGCTTTACTTCACTATGCCACAGTGCCAGCCCCTATATTTTATAAGAAGTTATTTCAAAAGGTCCATGGGCAATACACATTATCATTTAATTTTATAACCATGAAATTTTGAGTACTTTTATATAAAGCTTAAAGAACTAAAAATCATTAGGATTATAGAATATATGTATGTTAATTCCACAGAAGAGAAAAATCTACCCAACCTGGATCTCCATGTCTGTTCAAGCTGATGTACTAAATTTTTAAATTGGTATAATGATTGAAAACATTAGAGGTTCCCAAAACAAATGTACCTATTATTAATCTATTTGATTGTAAGTAGAATATGCAATTTATTTTGTATTATTTTTAAAATAATTGAGGGCCAGCACTGTGGAAATAGTGGGTAAAGCCAGCAACTATGGTGCTGGCATCCCATGTGGCCACCAGTTCAAGTCCCAGATGGTCCAAGTATTTGGGGTCCTGCACCTATGTGGGCAACCCAGAAGGAGCTCCTGGCTTCTGGATTTGGATCAGCCCAGCCCTGGCCATTGTGGCCATTTGGGATGTGAACCAACAAATGGAAGGTCTTTCATCTCTCTCTATCTCTCTCTCCCTCTCTATATTTCTCTATATCTCTATCTCTATAAGCTGTCTATAATTCCTTCCAAATAATTTTAAAAATCTCTATAAAAATGGGTATAAATATTTTCAACTATTTCCTACAATACAGAAGAATAAAATAACTTTGAAGAAACATTAAAGAATTCATTTTAACTTTGGATAAATACTATTTCTCTCTCTCTTTTTATTTTCTTTTTTTGACAGGCAGAGTGGACAGTGAGAGAGAGAGAGACAGAGAGAAAGGTCTTCCTTTTGCCGTTGGTTCACCCTCCAATGGCCGCCGTGGCATGGCGCACTGCAGCCGGCGCACCGTGCTGATCCGATGGCAGGAGCCAGGAGCCAGGTGCTTTTCCTGGTCTCCCATGGGGTGCAGGGCCCAAGCACCTGGGCCATCCTCCACTGCACTCCCTGGGCCACAGCAGAGAGCTGGCCTGGAAGAGGGGCAACCGGGACAGAATCCGGTGCCCCGACCTGGACTAGAACCCGGTGTGCCAGGCACCGCTAGGCGGAGGATTAGCCTAGTGAGCCACGGCGCCGGCCTATTTTTTCTCTTTTTAAAGATATATTGCACTCATTTGAAAGGCAGATTTATAAGGATGGAGAAACAGAGTCAGAGACTTTCCATCTGCTGCTTCACTCCCCAGATGGCTGCAATGGCCAGAGCTGGGTAAAACCAAAGCCAGGAGAAAGAAGCTTCATCCTGGTCTTCCATGTGGATGGTGGGGACCCAATCATGTGGGTCATTTCAGCTGCTTTCCCAGGCCATTGGCTGGGAGCTGGATAGGAAGTGGAGCATCAGGACCTGAACAGGTACCCATATGAGATGCCAGCATTGCAGATAGGACATAACCTCCTCAGCCACATTGATGAGCTCCTAAAATCACCTATTTCTAAAGAGTTGATTTTCATTTATATTCTTTTTATATAAAAGACTTATTTGTTTATTTGAAAGTCAAAGTTACAGAGAAGAGGGAAAGATAGAGAGATCTTCCATCATCTGGTTCACTCCCTAAATGGCTACAAAGGCAGGGCTTGGGTTAGGTCAAAGCTGGGAGCTTCTTCCAGGCCTCCCATGTAGATGAAGGAGCCCAAGCACTTGGCCAATTCTCTGATGTTTCCCCAGGCCATTATCAGGAAGCTGGATCAGAAGTGTAGCAGCCAGAACTTGAACTGGCACCCATATAGGATTTCATTCTCACAAATGGTGGCTTAAATGCTAGCCCCTCCTTGGCCAGCACCATGGCTCAATAAGCTAGTCCTTCGCCTGTGGCACTAGTCCTCCGTCTGCAGGTTCCAGTCCTGGTCGGGGAGCCAGATTCTGTCCCAGTTGCCCCTCTTCCTGTCCAGCTCTCTGCTGTGGCCCAGGAGTGCAGTGGAGGATGGCCCAAGTGGTTGGGCCCTGCACCCGCATGGGAGACCAGGAGAAGCACCTGGCTCCTGGCTTTGGATCAGCACAGTGCACCAGCCACAGCAGCCATTGGTGGGTGAACCAACAGCAAAGGAAGACCTTTCTCTCTGTCTCTCTCACTGTCCACTCTGCCTGTCCAAAAAAAAAAAAAAATGCTAGTCCCTCCTTATATTCTTTATGTAATTACTTTTAAAAGTCTCCTTCTAAATAAACAAAAGATATCTCTATTATTTACCAAGATTATTGTGCAATTTACTAATTGTCTCTATTTACAAGTCAAGCTAACACCAGGATTTGTTAGAAGACCTAAATGGGGAGCAGTGCTATGATGCAACAGGTTACGCCCTAGCCTGCCACACTGGCATCCTTTATGGGCACCAGTTCAAGTCTTGGCTGCTCCTCTTCTCATCCAGCTCTCTGCTATGGCCTGGGAAAGCAGTGGAAGATGGCCCAAGTCCTTGGGCTCCCGCACTCATATGGGACACCTGGAAGAAGCTCCTGACTCCTGGTTCTGATCAGCTGAGCTCTGGCCATTGCAGTCACTGGGGAGAGAACCAGTGGAAAGGAAGACATCTTCACTCTTTTTTTCTCTCTCTCTCTCTCTTGCTCTCGCTTGCTTTCACTCTCGCTCTGGCTCTACCTCTCTCTGTAACTCTGTCTTTCAAGTAAATAAAATACATCTTTAAAAAAAGAAATTTAATGAGTCATACCCCTTGGGCATAAACTCAGCTAAATCTACAGTGTCTGTAATCTGTCCATAGTAAAACTCAAGTCTGGTACATATCTCTCTTCAGCTAGACATTACTGTGTCCTTCCTTTAAGAATCAAGAACAGGGGCCAGCATTTTGGTGTGGATTAAGCAGCTGCTCACAATGCTGGCATCCCAGATGAACTCAGGTTCAAGTGCCAGTTCTGATCCAGTTCACTACTAATGTGCCTAGGAAAGCAGCAGAACATTGCTGAAGTACTTGGGCACCTCCCACCTACCTGGAAGAACCAGTTGGAGTTCCATGCTCCTGGTTTTTGCCTGGCCCAATCCCAGCAATGGTAGTCATTTGGGGAGTGAACCAGCAGGTGGAAGATCTCTCTCTCTCTCTCTTTCCCTATCTCCCCCTTTCCCTCCTCTGTACGTCTGACTTTCAGATAAGTAAATAAATAAATCTCTTTTAAAAAAAAGAAACCAAGAAAGCAGAATAGATTCAAGAAAAAATGAAACAATTATTTTTAATAAAGAGTCCAGAACAGACTATTAATGTGCTACTACTCTACATTTGTCACTATGATGTGCTGAATAAAAAATAATTAACGTATATTATCCTGTACTTATTTGGATGATTGATTACTGGTAATTAATATTTAATTTTAAAGAAAAAAATTTCAAGTGACAATATTCATTGCAAGGTGTCCGGAGCATAACAAATCTTCCCAGGCAGATGAATCAATTAATTCACAGGCTTTTATTGGGATTCCGCTCCCAGGGCGAGGTTCCCTGGTCCCAACAGAGCAACAGAGTGGGGGCCGGGGAAGTCCACATCAGAGATTGGGAGGGCTCCTTTTATAGATTCAGGGCATGGGGGTTAAAGGTTGAGGCGGGTCTGATCCTCATTTGTTGAACTTTAGGCACCCGCGGGGACCTTGACAAGAAATTTTCTTCCCAAGAAGTACAGGTAGGGACTTCTTCATTCCCACAAGTATAGGCCTTCCTTTCATGCGGATCCCAAAGCTACCATCCTGACCTTTTGATGATAGGAAAGGGGGTGACGAGTCTCTCTGGCTACTTCCTGCTGACTGGGGACATCATCTACAGGGGCCCGCTGCGGGTATCTTGGGGCTCCGCAGGGACAGGCATGTATGGATGGAGAAGCCTCTGGTTGACTGCCTGGTTGCTGAAGGCCCTGGTTCATTCCATTATCACCTGCTGTAAACACTTAAACAGACACTGTAGTATTCAAGTCAGGGTGAGAATAGCAACCAATAATCCTAAGAGTGGCATTAAGCAGGTAATGAAAAGATTTCATAGAGGAGAGGAAATGAGGGGGGTCTCTGGACCCTTGTGAGGATTGTTTGATGGACGTGGTTTAAATCTGACCCCAGCCGAGACCAGGAGAAAGGCCACTCAACTTTTGCAGGTAGAGGGGTTTGTCTGTAGAGAAATTCTGAATAATCATAAACGATAAAAGTATAAAACAGTTAGCCTAACAGACTGAGAAGCCAACAAGCAGAATACACCTGGTAATTTTGTCAATTAAAAAAGAATAAATGTTGTTACCATTTATGGAAATGTTTTGCAAAATTTCCTAACCAGGAGGCTGATACGGGAGGACTGTTGACTCAGGGAATTTGGGTGCTCCTCTAGCTTCCATTTGTACTGTAACTTGGATCCTTAGCTAATCCTGCTTAGTGTTGATTTCCAGCCACTGCTTTACCCAGGGAACTTGGAAGTAAAGCTACTTTGAATTCCTTCTCTCAGTGCTCTTAGGTCTATAGGGGTGGGGAATGTATGGAATGCAGGCCATAGAAAACTTGCAAAATCACTGGTCTGGCTCTGCCAAGGTAACTGCAGGTGGGACTCAAAATACAGTAAGTAGATCACAGGTTAATATTTAAAATTATAATTTTGTATGGCATATGAGCAGAACCCCAATAAAAGCCTGTGAATTAATTGATTCATCTGCCTGGGAAGATTTCTTATGCACCAGACACCTTGCATTCATCAGTAGAAAAAAGTTGAAACAAAGCACTCTCTTAATCTCACAAAGTCATGTGGCTAGGAGAAGGCATATCTGATTTTTTCTAATCAGCCTTCCTAAAATTTACAAATTTTTTTCTGGCAACAGTGAATTTGGCTCATCATAGAAAGTTCTTTGAAGGCTCTTGTTAAACTTGTTCCTCTTTGATATCCTTCTCTGAAGGGAGGAGAGAACTTCCACTTTGACTATGACCCTGTCGGAATAAGATCAAAGTCGGCGAACTCAAAAGGCTTCCATAGCCTTGGCAACTCATGACTAGAGCCTAGGGAGATTACTGACGCCATAAACAAGAGTGTCAAATTGTTAAGTCAACAACAGGAGTCACTGTGTACTTACTTCTCATGTGGGATCTGTCCTTAATGCGTTGTCCAATGTGAAGTAATGCTATAACTGTACTGAAACAGTATTTTACACTTGGTGTTTCTGTGTGGGTGCAAACTGATGAAATCTTTACTTAATATATACTAAATCGATCTTCTGTATAGAAAGATAATTGAAAATGAATCTTGATGTGAATGGAATGGGAGAGTGAGCGGGAGATGGGAGGGGTGCGAATGGGAGGGAAATTATGGGGGGAGGGCATTGTAATCCATAAACTGTACTTTGGAAATTTATATTTACTAAATAAAAAAAAGACCATTAAAAAAAAACTTGTTCCTCTTTGAAAATGTAAATTTTACTGCACGATACTGCAAGAGGTAAATTTTTGATGTGTAGGAAATTTGAAAACCAATTATGCTTAGTCTCTAATTTCTGATTTACTTACAGAACAGAAATTACACAGATAAATTTCACTTTGTCTAATTTTTTAAAATACTCATTTATTTGACAAGCAGGCACAGATAGACAAGGGGAAAGACTGAGAGAGAGGTCTTCCATTTGCTAGTTCACTCCCCAAATGGACACAATGGCCAGAGCTGGACCAACTCAAAGCCAGGAGCTTCTTCACACATGGGTGCCGGGGTCCAAGCACTTGCACCGTCTTCCACTGCTTTCCCAGGTCATTAGCACAGAGCTGGATTGGAAGTGGAGCAGCCAAGGTATGAACCAGCACCTGTATGAGATACCAGTGCCACAGGCAGAGGCTTAATGACTATGGCACAGCACCAGCCCCCACTTTACCTAAATTTACAGTAAACCCATGAGTTGCACCACAATGCAATTTTCTTTTCCTTCCTTCCTTCCTTCCTTCTTTCTCTCCTTCCCTCCTTCCCTCCTTCCTTCCTTCCTTCCTTTCTTATTTTTCTGTGTCATGAAGCTTGCACATTGCATCCAAGGACATGGACCAGGGAGAGAGGCTTATGATTACTGTGTGCAAGAACTCTCCTCTTGAGGGTCAAAGCATCTGACAAGGAAGCTCTCCTAGATTAAGTCCTCAAGTGCCTCTCTCAATAACAAGCGAGAGAAGGTGTGCTAACTGGAGAGCATCTTTGGTTGAATTAACACTGGGAGGTCTGAGTGTTGCTGGGGTCCTCATTGGGATATATTATGGGTAAAATCATTTGAATGTGACTATCCACCACTAGAGGGCTCTGTAGCATCAAATACATTTTCACAGTCATTGACATCTGATTCCCCACTGTTGTCCCTAGCTGCTCTTCTGGGGAAGAAAATCTGCTCCACTTGCAGGATACTTAAGTCCAGCAGTGGAGGAAGAATAATTGAAAGAGCCCACAGTTGAGTTCAAGGCAAAAAGACACTTGCTTCCATGTGAGAATGACTGAGAATACTGTCTTGGTTGGGTAAAAGTCATCATGAAGAGGATCAGGGACCTCTGCATCTCCAAGTATATTTCTACCTCCCAGCTGTGAACCCAGACTAGGGCATCCATTGAATAAACAATGATTCCATACTTCCATGTGGTGCTGCCCTGCTTAACATTGCCTGCTGAAATCATTTTGTTCCTATGTATTTTTACCCAGCACGGTTTGTCTTAATTTTCTCACTTCTGCCTGACAATATTCAACAATTTGCGCACTGTGCTCTTTACCTGCACACCCTGCCAGCAATTTTTCTTGATGTGCACTATACACCTAATAAATTGCCCTAATGATTTTTATTACTCCATCATTGTAAAAATGCCAGTATCATGTTCTTTAATAAGTTTGGCATAATACTGAAAGGAGGGAGCCTTTGCCATTGAAGACACTGTATTTGTGCTCACTAGTATTACCTAGATTAGGAGTACTGTTATCCTCTGGTTATACCTTCAATTTGAACTAAATTCTAAAACATGAATGAAATTACTGATAATGAAGATGAAGCTGAAGAGAAGGAAGCCAAGATTGGGCACTCTGGTGGTGTGAGTGAGCTGTTTATGGGTGAACTGTTCTTAATACAAAACCTGCTGCTGCGGGTTTGCCAAGTTATGTACCACTCAGTAACCTTCTTCATGTATCTTTAAGAATTCTGTCCCAAATCTCTTCCCTAATTTCACTTTCACAGTTACAGAAAATGAAGTTTTGAATAAACCTGTTAGTTATGGATTTCAATTACTTGCAGAAGTTCTATCTTGCTAATGTTCCAGTCACTGATGCTAAAAGTTGCTTCTTGTCTTCTCTCTCTCAGCAACAATATTTCATGGCCCACATTGCTGCTAGTGATATAGAAACTTAGAGTGTTGAAGGTGTAGTCCAAAATGGAGGCTGTCATGATGAAATTCTCTGAGTGCATTATTTTAATATCAAGCATCTTAAATAATCACTTACTACATTTTTGTGTTGCTATTGACTAACTCACAGTATCATGTTATCCTTTGTCTGTTTAGCTGAGCTATACGACAATCTTCTTTATGGACATGATCATCACTTTTTACCCAGAGGATCAGTATTCATTACACATTTCCTCTGAGTTAGGCCACTCCAAGGAATGAGGTTGTGTAGGTTTATAATTTAGTTATACTGTTTGTTCTCTGTGGAATTTAAAGTTTAAAAGAGATAATTTATCATAACCACCTCAAAGGTCCCTTGGTACATCTTTCTGAATCACTTAGAGATGAGAACTCCTTTGAAAGAAGAAATGAAGTGACTACCTGTAATGCAGCATCTCATGTGAGCACTGGTTTGAGTCCCAGCTGCTCCATTATGACCCATCTCCCTGTTACTGCATCTATTTGGGGAATGAACCAGCAGATGGAAGATCTCTATCTCTCCCTGCAACCTTCTCTCTGTATCTCTGACTTTCAAATACTGTACATCTTATTTTAAAAGAACTTAGGGTCCAGCACTGTGGCATAGTGGGCTAAGCCTCTGCCTGTAGTGCCAGTTCAAGGTCCAGCTGTTCTTCCAATCCAGCTCTCTGCTTTGGCCTGGGAAAGCAGTCAAAGATGACCAAAAGCCTGGGCTCCTGCACCCATGTGGGGGAGAAGAGTGAAGCTCCAGGCTTCTAGCTCCTGGCTTCAGATTGACCCAGCTCAATCTGTTGTGGCTACTTGGAAGTAAACTAGTGGATAGATCTTTCTCTCTGTTTCTCCCTGTGTCTGTAACTCTACCTCTCAAATGAAATAATAAAATCTTTTTTATTGAAAAAAAACACAGAGTTTAGCCTCACATTTGGAACTTCTAGTAATTCTGATGGGTTGAGAGGAAATTTGTAAAGTTTGTGGTACAACTGAGAACCTTCTGAGTCCTAGCACGTAAGAAGAGAATAGCAAGCAGACAGCTGGTAGACAAGACTTAAGAGGGTACAACCCATAGCATTGTCTTCCTGAAGACCACAGTAAGTCCTACAGTCCCTGTTCAAAGGTCATGGGAAACCATTCACATGGTTGAAAGAGGAGGGTGACTTGATGAGATTTTGTTTTGTAAAATGGCCTTTTAATTAAGTACTAAAGAACATCTCCAGAGAAAACATAGAGGAGTACAGCTGAATGGTAAATCTACATTAACAATAACAAGATTTGATGAAAGAAATGGTGCCTTTAAGGGAAATGTAATTCAGGGAAGAGAGATAAGAATTAGTGAATCTTTTCTCCTAGGATGGTACTTACACCAACTGTAGATATTGGGGCCCTAATTTGGTGTGTTGAAGAGGATTCCACTAGGATCTGGAATAACTTGAGCATCAGAACACATAATTTCAGACTGTAATACATTTAACAAGATAAGAATCTATGAACCCCTGGTGATATAGTACATAATGACACACTAACTAGGACAGAAGAGTGAGCCCTTAGCTTTGATGCTAGATCAAAATATAAATGGAGAAATAATATTGGGAATTAAAACACCAGCATTTCATATAGTATTGATGATTAAAAAACTATCAAAGATACTGGATGAAAATTTGATAGGAAATAGGATACTGGCATAATATTAGAATATTTTTAATAAAAGTTCACACATTCCAAAAAGGAATAAAAATGTGTATATAGCACAGCATATACAAATGCTGTGGTGCAGCAAGTTTTGCCACTGCCTGCCACACCAGCATTCCACATCAGAGTGCTGTGGTGCTGCTTCAAGTCCCAGCTTCTCTGCTTTTGATCAAGCATATTGTGAATGCACCTGGGAAGGCTTCAGAACATGGTTCAAGTCCTTGGGCCCCGCCACCATGTGTAAGACCAGGAAACAGTCGTTCATCCTAGCTTCAGCTTGACGAAGAACTTACTCTTGCAACTCTTTTGGAAATGAACCAGCAGAGAGAGAGAGAGAGAGAGAGAGAGAGAGAGAGAGAGAGAGATCCAGCTCTCTGCTATGGCTTGGGAAAGCAGTAGAAGATGGCCCAAGTGCTTGGACCTCTGCACCTGCATGGGAGACCTGGAAGAAGCTCCTTGCTTCTGGCTTTGGATTGATACAGCTCTGGCTGTTGTAGCCAATTCAGGAGTGAATCAGCAGATGGAAGACCTGTCTCTCCCTCTCTCTCTCTGCCTCTCTTTCTCTCTTTGTGTAACTCTGACTTTCAAATAAATAAATAAATCATTTTAAAAGATACAGATGTAGATGTAGATATAGATATAGTTCCCTCTCATTGTCATTCTGTCTTCAAAATAAATAAATCCTTAAAAGGTTGCGTGTGAATCAATCTGGCAGAAATTCACTAAATACGTTGATAGCATGCATCATGGAGTGGATGGAAGACTGGGGAGAGCCCAGCATCGGACCAGGGAGCTTCTAATGAGAATACAGGGCCCACATTTTCTCAGAAGGGAACACTGGATGCGCCCAGCTTGAGTCATCTCTGCTCTTGGTACCTATTGAGGGTTTTCATATTAGAAAAGTGTCAAGGAGAATTCCAGAAAAAGAACATTGAATCACAATGGGAGAAAAGATATTTGAACATGGTTGGAAAAAAAATGTAATAGTTCTGTGGATTGGGTTATAGGGAAGAATTTATTTTGGTTCCCTAAATTGGGGTTCATATGCTTTTTATCAGGGGACCACCCTATACTTAGCAGAAACATCTTGGATCGGGGCAACAGTGCTAAAAGGATAATAACTAGGCATTCTCAATGAATGCCATTCACTCATGGTATTTCTGTAAGTTTGAAATAATTTCAAAATTAACTACTCTTAAAATGATCAGCAGAGAGCTGATCTCTATGCCACAGCTCCAGACCCTGGACACTTCTTTGAAGGTTGAGTAACTGATTTTGGAAGTGACAGAAAGTTTCTTTTAAAATGACTTTGATGGGGCTGGTGCTGTAGCATAACACTTAAAGCTGCTTCCTGGAGTGCCAGCATCCCATAAGGGTGCTGGTTCAAGTGTCAGCTGCCCCACTTCCAATCCAGCTCTCTGCTCTGGCCTGGGAAAGCAGTAGAGGATGGCCCAAGTCCTTGGGCCCCTGCACCCACTTGGGAGACTCAGAAGAAGCTCCTGGCTCCTGGATTTGGATCAGCACAGCTGCAGCCATTGCAGCCATCTAGGGAGTGAACCAGCCAATGGAAGCCCTCTCCCCCTCTCTCTCTGCTGCTGCCTCTCTAACTCTGCCTTTCAAGTAAATAACTAAATCTTTTTTAAAAATAAAAGAAAAATAAATAATAAAATATCTTGCTTCCCACAGCCAAAGTATTTTGTTTTATCAGGATGTTTAAGGGCAGCAGCCAGTAAATTAGTTTTGTAAGTCTCAGTCTGTACTGTTTGAAGGAATTTAATCATTTCTGCCATCATAGTTTCAGGTTTTGGAGACAACAGCTTTTAAAAGATTTTTAAATCCTGATTTGCATTTTCATAAGCCATTTGTTTTAGTAATATTTTGCCACTTCCTGATTATCTACCTGATGTCCAATAGCTTTTTCTAGCCTATCCACAAGGACATATAGCCCTCAGTCAGCCCCTGATGGACTGTAGAAAAGGAAGTGGACAGGTCTTTAACATCAAGAATCTTTTTCCATGCTTTTAATTAATGTTAGAAATTTTTACATAAGCCTTCCTTCAAGGATAAGCAACTTGTCGACCAAGATCTGAATACACTCCCTCTCTTAGCAACTGCTCAAAATTGGTAGGGACATTGTTATTTAGCTAATCTGTGGCTTGTACAGAAACCCAGTCTCTATTCCTGAGCCCAAACAGTGTACTGGGCTGGAGTAACCAAGATTTTAACTAAAGTTTTCCAGTTCCATGGCACCATCTCACATCCTTCTCCAATTCCCTCCAGTATGCCCACTGTACAAGAACTCTGTATCTTGTACTCCGCTAAGCCCTTTTTTAGCCCTCTGTAAACATTATAAGGAAGATGTTCATGCCAGGGAGCTGCATATTTGGGTCAAGCTACAGGACAAATAACGCTGGTGATTCCCCTTGCTCCTTGGCTTGCGGAAGCATACCTAGTATCGCTGACACACCTGAAGGGGACTCAGATATCACCACCACAACAGCAGGTGCTGAGAGTGCAGAGGTCTCTGTGAGGCAGTG